GCATCAACCATTGACTTTGCATGTAAACTCGCTGCTTCTGCTGCGTCCGGTTGAGCGGTTGAAGTTCCTTTGTCAGATCTCCCGCAATAAGCACAGCGTTAATTTGTTTCACCATGTTTTTCACATCAGCTGTGAGATGGGCACGCACAGAGTCACAGATTAACAGCGATGGTGATGAGTGGAAAAAAAACACCTGGTCTCCTTACATTCACCTCCCTCAGCCACTCTTTCATCATCTCCTCAATGAGGTGGTCTCAAAAGTCGCAGTTACAACACACATAGGGCATATCGCACCAAAGGGCGCACCGCACATTTTGAAGGGAAAAAAAGACGTTTATGTGCGCCTTATAGTCGTGAAAATACGGTAAATAAAATTCCTGTTGGCCTTTTTCAACAAGTCAGAAGGAACCATGAAAGGTGAAACCAGAATTAAATGTCTTAGCCGACATGTAGATGACAGAAATTTGGCATTGCCTGTTCCCCTAAAAACTCACTCCCTACAGTAAAAGGAGTCGTCAGGGAGGAAGAAGAGGCTGTGTAGAGTTGATAAGAATTTGCAAATTGGGCAATCCTGGGGGCTAGGAAATCTTAAAAAGGATGTAGCTTTACCTTTCAACCGTAAAATGATTCAAAATCCAGGGCGACCACAGAACAGTTTAGATAAAGCAAGCAGCGCTAGAGTTGATTCCTTCCTGCAATCATCTCAATTCTCATCACCATGCAGATGCCAAAACATTGCACCTGTTAAACCAGGCCAACAACGACCCTAACGACTCCTCATTACAGAGGCATGGGCCGGTTTTGGGTTAATTTTCAGGCCAACGACGAACTAAACTTCTCCCCATTACAAAGGGGTTGACCTGTTTCAGTTCAATTTGCATATTTTCCAAGTCATAACAAAGCTTTTGTTGGGCTACCCTATAAAACCTGGAACTCAACACTACTTCAGACATTTTGTATTGTTAGGTTTATTATTTATACATCATGTGCATTATTATTCTGTTAGCCAGATTAGACAGAGTAGAAGGCCTTCCTTCACATTGTGGATGTCACTGGGTGTACGGAGGTCATCTAATCAGGACAGCCTTCGTGTCTTTAAAAGTACACAGGATATGGGCACATCTTGGAGCCGGTCTGATAGAGGGGAGCTATCTGTAACCCTGAGACAGAGAAGCAAGCTGCATATGGGTCAGGGCATTGATGTCGTGTCAGTTTCTGATACGGACAGCTAAGCATCCACATGATTTAGCACATAGACTCATAAGGTATAAGAAGCAGGAGATGACCTTGTTCGAGGCTCAATTTTTGCCGGACGCTCGCGGACGTGATTTTTGAGCCCACAGCTGTGCAAGCTCCAAGCATTTTTCTCTGTCGTGTAACGACCTGATCTGGAATAAACTGTTAGTTTTTACTCCTGATTTATAGTCATTTTTATATGGTTTTACCCAGTTTGAGTTAAGAGTAGTAAATAACTTGCTCCCAGGAAAAGGACCGTGAGGAAGCCCCCGAGGCGCAACGGCTTTTTTAGGGGTCATAACATCCTCATTTTAATAGTATTGAGAAAGCTTTCTGGATGGGAAGTGAAACATCTTCAAACTTGGAAAAAAAAAAGTCCAGGGGTTTGTTTTTAACTTTTTTTGGAATAGATAAAGCAAACTTCATTGGTTAGAATTGTCTAGTTAAAATCCAAATTCAACGTAGAATCACAGTCTCTGCCCAAACTGGCTGAGTTTGAGCATTCTGGAAAAGACCAAACCTAGAAAAACAGCAATTTTTCAGATTATTTTATACATATCCTGAAACTGATGTGCCATTTTCCTTCCATTTCACTCTTATCCATTACTTTATATTGGCATGCGACATAAAGTCCAAATAACATGACTTTGGGGGATGTTGTGACAAAATGATTATATCTCTCTTTCAGGTCATCAGTGACAAGGTTCCAGCCCAGACAGAGCCAGGTCTCTTAAAACAATCCGAAGCTGTTTTCTCAAGAGACTGTGCTCCTAAGCAGGAGGAAAGTGAAAGAAAACCCAGAAAAGAAGAACTTGACTCCTCTTTTGATGTGACCGGTACATGTCCCCCAGCAACTCCTCACCGAAAGAAGACCCCTCAAGTGAATAAAGGCCCCAAATATGCTCCGAGAAAACAACTGACAAAAGCTGTCAGTTCAACAGAGAAAATTGATGTAGGGGTGAAAGATAAAAACAGAGAAAGTGTTGCTTGTAAAGATGAGACTGCACCAAGATATCCCCCAAAAGAGCCTCAACCAATACCAAAGCTGGATCCACGGAGTTTGCCTCGACACCGTACTGTTCTGCAATATGAGGTTTTAGACGACGACCCATCAAAACCCAGACCAAGAAAAACTGGACCAAAATCAAACAAGTAGCAAACTGGGAGCTCCCTCAGAAAACCTTGTTTCTAAGAATTTCTGGGGAAATCTAGAATCTCAACTAGAAAGGTTTTTGAAGAAAAACTGACGACAGCCATGTTGCCCTTGATCCGCCACCTCTAGTCAACAATACACAATACCAGACTTAAGATTGAAGGATGCATATGTCTGTAATGCATACAAAGCAACACTCTAATTCAGTAATGTAGTAAGTTTATTTCCCATGACATTGCATATTATTATAGTGTTATGTTGACTGACAAGTCTGTACATATACGCCCTAAGACTAAATGTTTCACCTTAAAACATTAATTTTACTCGTTTCAAGAACTTTAAAGAATAAAAAAACACAAAAAAAAACAAAGATTGCTCCTGCAAATTATTGACAGCTTGAATTCTTACACACTGCCTTAAAATGACAGATTTTTGATATATTAAAAAGATCCTAAGATCCTGATAAATTGTTTCAACACTTTCTAACAAAACTGAAATGTAGCCAACTGTATTTTAAACAATTTAAACCAAACACATTTTTTGATGGATAAAAGGATAAATGCCAACTTTCCCTTGATAGCGGGCTGTCAGGAGCCAAACCAAAATATTTTCGAATCTGCAGAAATTC